TTTATTTTTTGTTTAAATATTAAATTAATATTACTTGGACAAAAAAAGTTAAAATATATTTATTTGAAATATGTAGTACAATTGAAAATTGAGCAAAAATTAAAACATGAAATACACTTTTTAATAAATAAGAATCAATCGTATTAAAATGCTAATTTCTTGAGTTCTACGGTTGGCCTTCAACCAACCGTGGAAGCAGACAAGCGTCTCAAGAGAGTTTGCGTTCAATCTCGTTCTATATTCCGTTAGGACGTTGCCGGCCGCACTAAACTCTTGTTCCACAGCAACTGTTGATACCGGCATTACTAGCACTTGCTTAGCCATCTTTGATAAGATCGAGAACATTCTCTCTTTTTCCTTCCACCACTGAAGAACGTCAAAGTCATCCCCTTCTTCATACTCAACAGGAAATGTTAGATACAAAGAAAGCTCGTTGATCGAGCTTTGTTCATTAACCGGGGTTGATTTACTTTTTTCATAAGATTGCCAAATGCAAATTTCAAAATTGATTTTCCTTTAGATGAAGAAGATGTTCGTGGCGGGGGAGGGTGTGCGTTACCATATTGTGCATGAAACTCATTAAATAATTGATATAATAAATTACTAACCTCTTGGAATTGTTGTTTAGGGTTTATGGCCTTTTCGTCGTACATAGGCAATGTACCAAAAAAAAGAAGTATAATAGTAATCTAAACATTGCTCCAAAGAAGCAAGTCTAAAACGAGGATCAAGAATAAATGCAATACTATATATATATATGCGGAATATATGAATAATATTTTAAAAACTTTTGTTTCATGAAGCCACAAAAATAACTAACGTAAGCGGCATCAGCAAATTCACAAAAAGCGCCGTCGAGATTAACAGTTTCAACAAAAAATTGGTTTGCGGTAAGTTTATAAACATGACTAAAAGTTTGAGTTGCATTATTAAAATACACCAAAACATTCAGGAAAATGGTTTTTAAATCTTAAGCACCTTAATTAAGTTATAAGTACTATTCCAACGATTAGACAAATCTTTAGGAAAAGCACAATATTTGACACGTCTTTCTTTCAAATAATTTCTCCATTGCATCTTAAGTTGATTACTAGCCCAAATAAGTTTAACCCCCCCCCCCCCCCCCCCCCCCTCACCACCTCCATAGCATCTCCCAATGCAGCTAGCCCGTCCTTTACACATAAATTTAAAATATGACATGCACAACACTGATGAAAAAACCTACCCATCAAAGAAGATGAACCACACAATTCACGCAATCTAGGAATAGCAACAATATTATTAGTAGCATTATCAAAACCAATAGTAAACACCTTATTAACCAAATTATATTCAATTAAAATACGCTCAATGAGAATATAAATATTATCACCGGTGTGTCGATCATTAAATTCACGAAAAGCAAGAACACGTTTATGCATACATCAATCATCATCAATATAATGTGCAGTCACACCCAAATAATATAAATGATGATGAGTATCCTCCCATATATCACTACATATACTAACACAGTCCATCAAAGTTTGCGAAAAACGTTTGTAATTTTTGCTTTTCCAAAACATATTGCCTTATAACTTCTTTTTTATTTGTTTTGCGACTATAGTTTTGAAATTGAGGATTTAAAGTACCTTGAGCATATTCTTTTAAAGCAAGACTTTCGGAAAAAATAAAAGGCAAATTTTCTTCAACAATTAAATGAGACATACCGGTCAAATGTTTTTTATCATCATAGGAGAAATTACCGAGGGTTGGCCGGTTGCAAACCTTGAAATTTGTGTTTGCTTTCCCTTGTCTTTGTCCGATTTCACATATTCTGCCGGGTGCTTGGCCTTAAGATGTCTTGTGGCGCTCCCGTACCCTCTAGAAATTCCCAAGTTCTACAATTTGTTGCAATGCTTGCAAGTGGCATACTATATCTCGGTTTCGAGGTCTTTCTTTCACGTCTATTTGACACGTCTTTCTTTCAAATAATTTCTCCATTGCATCTTAAGTTGATTACTAGCCCAAATAAGTTTAATCCCCCCCTTCACCACCTCCATAGCATCTACCAATGCAGCTAGCCCGTCCTTTACACATAAATTTAAAATATGACATACACAACGTTGATGAAAAAACCTACCCATCAAAGAAGATGAACCACACAATTCACGCAATCTAGGAATAGCAGCAGTATTATTAGTAGCATTATCAAAACCAATAGCAAACACCTTATTAATCAAATTATATTCAATTAAAATACGCTCAATGAGAATATAAATATTATCACCGGTGTGTTCATTAAATTCACGAAAAACAAGAACACGTTTATGCATACACCAATCATCATCAATATAATGTGCAGTCACACCCAAATAATATAAATGATGATGAGTATCCTCCCATATATCACTACATATACTAACACAGTCCATCAAAGTTTGCGAAAAACATTTGTAATTTTTGCTTTTCCAAAACATATTGCCTTATGACTTCTTTTTTAATTGTTTTGCGACTATAATTTCGAAATTGAGGATTTAAAGTACCTTGAGCATATTCTTTTAAAGCAAGACTTTCGGAAAAAATAAAAGGCAAATTTTCTTCAACAATTAAATGAGACATACCGGTCAAATGTTTTTTATCATCATAGGAGAAATTACCGAGGGTTGGCCGGTTGCAAACCTTGAAATTTGTGTTTGCTTTCCCTTGCCTTTGTCCGATTTCACATATTCTGCCGGGTGCTTGGCCTTAAGATGCCTTGTGGCGCTCCCGTACCCTCTAGAAATTCCCAAGTTATACATTTTGTTGCAATGCTTGCAAGTGGCATACTATATCTCGGTTTCGAGGTCTTTAACTTTTGTAAAATTGGCCTTAAAGACATATTCAGATTTCTCACCACCTTGGGAAGAAGTACCCACTAGATGCGGGCCGGGCTGGTTCCAAGCACACTAGCGGGCCGGACCGGTTCCGGGCTGGCCCGGGCCGGTTGGATCCATCCCTAGATGTACCCATAGAATTTGATTTTCTTAGAATCACTCGTGCAAATTTAGTGCTTAATCCGTCCAAAAAACATTGTTTTTAAATTTTCCATAAAAGTTACCTTTTAATAGGCAACACGTTTTGGGAGTGATAGGAATGTATGTTTGGAAGTTCGGAGGGAATGGGAGGGGAAGGCTTTGGAGGTATGTTGTTGGAGGGGAAAGGGAGGGGAGGGTGAAGAAGCCCTTCTTTATATTTAAGAGTAATAAATTTGGAAGAAGAGAGTTTTTGAATGAATTATAATTAAAATTACTTTGAGATATGACGAATTTAAATAATTGAACTGATATTTATTTTTAATTGAGCTTAAATTACAATTTCATTAATTATCCTTCAAAACCCTCCAAATCGGGAGAACTTAAAAATTAGGCATTTAGAGGGTTTTGGAGGGTCATGAAAGCCCTCCAAAACCATCCCCTCCAGAGTTATAAACTCCCAAACATGAAAAGGATGGTTACAAACCCCCATCAACCTCCCCCTCTCCTCCAAAACTCAACTCCCAAACACACCCTAAGGGTATGTTTGGGAGTTCGGAGAGAAGGGGAGGAGAAGACTTTGGAGGTAGGTTGTTGGAGGGGAAAGGAAGGGGAGGGTGAAGAAGCCCTTCTTTGTATTTGGGAGTAATAAATTTGGAAAAAGAGAGTTTTTGAATGAATTATAATTAAAATTACTTTGAGATATGACGAATTTAAATAATTGAACTGATATTTATTTTTAATTGAGCTTAAATTACCATTTCATTAAATATTCTTCAAAAACCTCCAAATTGGGAGAACTTAAAAATTAGGCATTTAGAGGGTTTTGGAGGGTCATGAAAGCCCTCCAAAACACCCCCTCCAGTTTTATAAACTCCCAAACATGAAAAGGAGGGTTATAAACCCCCATCAACCTCCCCCTCCCCTCCAAAACTCAACTCCCAAACACACCCTAAATGTTTTATCTCGTACACACCTTTGCTCTGATACCATGTTACAATTGTGAATACTAGCAGAATTAATATTCAACAATGAAGAAGAGATTGAAAAGATGAAACTCAAGCAATTGGAATTAGGGTTCTGAGAATCAAGATGAATGAATGAATGCGAGTGGTGTAAAAAATGAATTACAAGGGGTGTTAAAAGAGAATAATAATAATATTTGCAGAATGGTCCTTCAAGTCTTGTAGCTTTTAATATTTAATCAGCTTTCTTCTTTTATGTCATCTGCATCCTTTTTATGAGTTTGACATTTTGTACAATGATTGAGATAATAACTAAAATACAGAGTTGCTTCCTACGAAAATATGACATTTTTCTATGATAGTGTGTAGCTTATTAAAAAATTTAGGATATTAATTTCATGTGACAAATAACATCTTGATATATGCAAATACGTTGTTCAACTCTGCATCCATAAACATTAACTTCTTTTCCATGTCAGTGATCAAGTAACTTATAATGTACTAAGCACTAGTACCATTGAAGTTGATATGGAAATCTAGAGTTTAAATAATTAAAATCATTATTAAGATCACTATTTATAAGCATAAACATAGGTGAATAGATATAAAGAAAGATCTCTGTTTATTCCTATCGGTAATTGTACATTTGCACAGGCTTGGTATTTTTTATGCAAATTGGTATTGTCCTTTGGGATAGAAATCTGATTATCTTCGGTCTAGCTACTAATTATAAGATCTTGAATCTTGAACAAACCATCTCATTATCAACTTTTCTAAGTTTGGTCTTTTTTCGACCCACTTTCAAGTTTCAAAACAGAAAAGACTATTCAACAGTCATTAAAAGCCAATATAGGAGCTATTTTACCAAGTCTCTAATCACATGATTACACACAAATATATATACGTTACCTGTTTCCTTCTATACATTTTCCGTGTTCAAAACAGACCTAAAATAACCTTGTTAATTTTTTTGACCTAAATCACCTAACCCTTAAATGATTCTAGAAATAAAGCAACCTCTAACAAATACAAGAGTGAATCTCCCTGCTTTGTTTTGTTGAATTGTATCTGAAATGTTCTTTCATTTAAACCAACCTGATTCACTCAGAATTCATCCACTACACAATCATTTCTCTGATACTTGTCTACTAACAAACGTTTGACGATAAATGAATTGTAAGAGACAAATCTATACTATTAAAGTTTTATGCAGATCAGAACAGCGCAGATGCATAATTTAATATCCATCGGCCAAACTATTGGGCAGGACGAATCATACCATCTAAGAGATAAGTCAAAGTCTGGTTGACTAAAACACATAAGTGGACCTGAAACTAGTATAAGCTGTGACATCCGCCCAATCCGGAAATAGTCCTTTCAACTTCAGCTGTCTTTCTGTTAGATGCTGGTCAATTACACCAACTTCGACCCTGATCTCTCCAGAGCTACTTGCCTGCACATTATGTCAGAACTATTATTTGGAGTGAGGGGAAAACACATTTGGTGGTAATTGCTTAATGCATATTATGTATTGAATAACATTTGGAGCAGGGAAACACAAAACAGTTGGAAAGTCTGCAGGTTCTCACTGCTGTGCATGACAGCTTATTCACGGTGAATTTCCTTAGCAAGTGCTCACCCCATCCCAAAATTTCAGATAGCATTTGTGTTCGGCACAAATTTCAAATATATAAAAAGGGAAAACTATCAAAAAGGTCCTCTTACTATGTCAAAAACGTCAATTAAGTTCTTATGCTTCAAAATCATTCAATTGAACCCTCAAACTCTTATAAAACGTTCAATTGAGATATTTATCCGGTAAACAACAATTTTCCGGTTCATTGCCTGGGGACTGCCTTAATAACTTTTTAAAATGTTTTTTATTTTTATTTTTTAGTCTATCCTTTCCAAGGCTTTACTCTTTACCCAAGTCTTTTTTTTTTCTAATTCTTTCTGGTACGCAAGGTTCTTCCGCATCTGCTGGCCTGCAACTTCACCGGCAAAAGTCCTGTCTCCGCCTTCCTCCTTCCTATTCCCTTCTCTCTCCTCGTTCACTTTCTTTTTCATGGACTTTTCTCCTTTTACTCACACCAGCAAGTCTTCACCGTCATCGTCCTTCTAAGCCCTGCCACCGCTCCTCCTCTGCTTCGCCGCATGGATGTCGTCACCGGGGTGCTCCTCTGTTTCATGCCCTTGTTCAAGTCCGAGTTTCTCCTTCCCGATCATACTGTACCACTACACCTATCGAATCTGAGGGATGGTGATGAAGAAGTCTCATCCCCCCGTTTGCCTTCCAAGTTCCAATCCAACTGAAACGGGATGTCATTGAAGAAGTTCGGTTCCAATGGAAGAAAAGTTCAGAGTAATAGAGATACATGTGAACATTTTTGGGGAAGATGAACAGTGCCAATGGATGTAAATTGACTAATCTCAATGTAACGAGTGCACTTGTCAAGGGAAATAAAGAAAATATTGTTGGGACCCAAGCTCAAAGTTACGGGACCACAAAGGCTGGAGAGAGGCGTAGCACACGGATCAAAATAACAAACACAAGGCTGAAGGATTTTGTCGTTTAGCAGCAAGTAATATATTAGCTATGCAAGGGTGATGGTTAGGCAGGAAATATCTGACTTCTCTCTCTTCTTCTCTAAGAAGTTTCTGGCTACTTTATCCTGTAATTCTTCCATGTCTGGACTGCTATTACAGTATTACTTTCTTGCTATCGCAGGAATGCTTACTATAAAAATAATCTACATTGCCCTCATTATATTTGAGTTGTTTTACACGATTAATCTGCTGCCATCCTCATATCGTAACACTCAATCGGTCAGAAAAGTAAACAATATGCCACATGGGCATACACGGCAGTGGCTACCGGTAAAACTGATACCTAACCTCTTAAAAAGAGAAATTGGGTGTTTTTAAAAGTTTGGGGATTTAATTGAATGTTTTAATAGTACAATGATTAATTGACTTCTTCGTTATAGTACAAGGACTTATTTGACAGTTTTCCATATAAAAATGATTAGGTACTTTTTTGTGAGGCAAGAGTAAAAATGTGTTATGCCAAATAAACACTGAAACCTTTAATCATAATCTGCTTATGTGTCTACATTGAACTCTCAAATGATCAAGTATTTTCAGTTCATTATACATTTTCCAATCATGTCACATGACACCTTAAGATAATCTATCCAAGAAAACAAAATAACAGCTGCATTCAAGATTGTATGTTGTTGTGGGTTAGTGAGTCTACCATCAATTCAAATACTAATGAATATTCGGTATTAGTTATCTAACATGCATGTAGAACACCTAAATGAGTCTAAACTATCAAGTATGAACTGTCTTCTATATACTGATAGAAATTCACTTTTACTCCCACATGTTTCACTTCTAATAATATTGTTTTAGCATTTTTTCTTTTTGCAGATTTCGTAGTAGTAATGTGTCATTGTGTGTGTTGGAGTTATAGTTGTTGTTACAGTTTGTTTCGTGCAACTATCCTACTAATCTACTGATTTTTGTATTGCATTTATCATAAATTTATTTATGTATTGCATTTTTTGGGTTGTAGTTTTTTTCATGAAGTTTGTTTATGATGTGATGTTTTTTGGTGTAGTATCTTTTTCGCTGCAATTTTTTTGGAATGTCCCGAACCGTCCCGTTTTGTTCCGGTACTGGTTTAAAAGGGAAAATAGCAGGACAACGTCTTGTCCCGTCCCGTTATGTTCTTGTTGATAAAACGAAGAGACATCATTAATCTAGGATTTATTTTCCTTATTATTACTGTAATTATGTATCTTTAGTGCTTCAGGTTGTATTTAATAGCTGCTGTCTTTTCAGTTCTCAATCATTTATGTTTAGTATTTAGACAGTCACCTAGGGTGCTGAATAGACTCTCTCAGGATTCCTATCTGTATAAATAGCTTATGTACTTCTTGTAAATGAATTCAAGGAAATAATATTCAGAAAACTTCATGGTATCAAAGCTTGGTTTCGTCTAAGCCTTTTTTGAGTCAGTCTATCACCTCTCCAACGGTCATTTTTTTGGGTGTCTCTACCCTTCTCTCTCTTTAACTCCCGGTGGAGTCTCTTCATCAAGGGTTTTATCATGTCTAAAGAAGCCGAATCAGCCTCAAGTAACCTTGATCACTCAACCATTGTTTCAGCTGCTACTGCAGCCGCGTTTGCTCTTCGAAACCAGAAATTTGATCTCCCTTCTATCCCGCCATCTTACCGTCTCAATGGCAGGAACTATCTTGGGTGGTCAAAGCTGGTTTACACTCTTCTACGTGGCAAAGATCTTGAAGATTATCTCACTGTCTCTACCCCAGAAGAAGGAGAGATTGATGCTGCTATTTGGGAGAAAACTAATGCCAACGTACGGGTCTGGTTATGGGACTCTATGGATCCCAACATTAGCAGTACATGTTTATACATGGACTCGGCTAAAGAAATCTGGGATTTCATACAGCAGTCCTACTCTGTTGCTAAAGATGGCGCTTTTGTCTATGACTTATGGCTCAAAACAACGAATCTTAAGCAAGATTCACAATCTGTCACAGATTATGCAACTGACCTCCAACGACGATGGTCTGAACTTGACCAGTATCAAACGATGAAGTGGTCGAATGCTGCAGATGCAGCTCTTCACAAGAACTATATAAATCAGCAACGTCTATATTGCTTCTTGTCTGGTTTAAATCCCGAATATGATCAGACTCGGGGTCAAATTCTTGGCATTACTCCTCTGCCTTCCATATCTTCTGCCATTGCCACTATCAAACATGAAGAGAGCAGACGCAATATAATGATGAATACAAATCTGATTGACAGTACAGCTCTTGCTGCCAAATCTACTCCTTCAGATGTTAAGGAAACTAAGGGTAGTAAGGGAGGAAGATGGTGTGATCATTGCAAGCGGTCCAACCATAATGTGGATACATGCTGGAAACTTTATCCTCATCTACAGAAAGAAAGGAAAAGCCAAGACAGACGTGGAATGAGTGTTGGACGTGCCAACTCAGTCACTCCCACTATTGTTGAGAGCTCTACTAATCTTTGGCCCATTTCCCAGGAGGAATTAAAGCAAATTCGTATGATGTTACAGTCTCTTAATAACTCAAATGGTTCTGGTCATAGCTCTTTGGCCCTGCAAGGTAAAACCTCTAATATTTTTTGTCTTAATGCTTCGGAACAGAGTTCACAATCCCAATGGATATTAGACTCAGGTGCCACATCTCATATGACTGCCATACCCTCTTTACTCTCTAATTATCATCCATGTTTTACATCCACGCACATTACTACTGCTGATGGGACACCTACAAAGGTTGCGGGACTTGGTACGGTTGTTTTTTCTGAAAAATTAAATCTGAAAAACACCCTACATGTCCCAAACCTGGCTATGAACCTTGCTTCTATTTACAAACTCACAGTTGATCTTAATTGTGCTGCCATTTTTTTCCCTTCCCACTGTTTATTACAGGATCTACACACGGGGAGGACGATTGGAATTGCTAAACAAAGAGATGGCCTGTACTACCTTGATGCACTGTTTGTCTCCAAACCTCCACAAAAAGCTCTTACCACAATCACAGCCAATACCAACACTATTTGGCTTCACCACAAGCGTCTTGGTCATCCCTCTTTTCATGTCCTAAAAACCATGTTTCCCAGTCTTTTTAGTAGTATTGATGTTTCTACATTTCAATGTGATGTCTGTGAACTTGCTAAACAGTCTCGTGTATCTTTTTCCAGAAGTAATACAATCAGTTGTTCTCCTTTTGATATTATACATAGTGATGTCTGGGGTCCTGCTCCAATTGCTAATATATCTGGTGCCCGGTGGTATGTTACATTTATTGATGATTGTACACGTTTTATGTGGGTTTTTCTGCTAAAAAACAAGAGTGAGGTGAGTTCCATCATTCCTATCTTTTGCAATATGATTCATAATCAGTTCTCCGCCACAATAAAACGCTTCCGCACTGATAATGCTCTTGAATACTTCAATCAAACCGTTTCCTCTTATTTCCTCTCAAAAGGCATTGTTCATGAGTCCTCTTGTCCGTACACACCACAACAGAATGGCACAACAGAAAGAAAAAATCGCCATCTCCTAGACGTCAGTCGGGCTTTATTGTTTCAATCAAATATGCCTAAACACTATTGGGGGGAAGCCACACTCACAGCATGTCATCTCATCAATAAAATTCCCAGTCGGGTACTCCAAAATAAGTCACCCCTTGAATCTCTCCGTCATTTCTTTCCTCAAACCAGAATTTCTTCTGATCTTGATCTAAGGGTGTTTGGGTGTACTGCATTTGTTCATATTCCTCCACCTCATAGGGGAAAATTGGACCCACGATCTATTAAGTGTATCTTTCTTGGTTATTCTCCAACTCAGAAAGGATATAAGTGCTATAATCCTACAACCAGAAAGACATACACCAGTGCAGATGTGACCTTTCACGAAGACACACCTTTTTACACTCCTACTTCTCTCCCTGTATCCCAAGATACTCCACAACCTTCACCTCTGCCCACCTATACTATTACATCTTCTCCACCACATACAATCTCCTACCCTCCTAAGCCTTTATCACCAGACATCCCATCACCACCACCACCACATGATCATCCATCACCTTCCTTAGATGTGTCAGCAACCTCACCTACTTCCCAACAGTCTTCAACATCACCTGAACCTCAATCAAATACACCACCAGATCATCCCATTCCTACACCTACTAAATCCACCACTCATGACCCATCTTCTCCTCTACCAGTGACAAAAGTGTACTCAAGGAAAAACAGGTTCACTCCATTGTTGACGCATGACCAATTGGCTGACCCAGGTAATGTCTCTTCTTCTCCACCACCATCTCCGCCAATTGCTTTACGCAAGGGTGTACGTCAATGTACCAAAACACCTCTATACCCTCTTGCTAATTTTGTTACCATTGATAACTTCTCTCCTTCACATGCCTTGTTTGTTCAGAGACTTAATGAAATTCCCATACCCAACTCTGTTTCTGAGGCATTAGGAAAGAAAGAATGGAGGGATGCTATGCAAGAGGAAATTAGAGCTCTTGAAAAGAACCATACTTGGGATATTGTGACTAAACCTCCTGGGAGGCATGTTGTTGGTTGCAGGTGGATCTTTACTGTCAAATACAAGGCTGATGGATCTCTTGAGCGGTACAAAGCTCGTCTTGTGGCTAAAGGATACACTCAGACGTATGGGATTGACTATCAAGAGACCTTTGCTCCTGTAGCTAAGCTCAATACTGTCCGTATCCTACTATCCTTGGCATCTCACTTTGATTGGCCTTTATTGCAATTTGATGTCAAGAATGCTTTTCTCCACGGTGACTTGCATGATGAGATCTACATGTACATTCCCCCAGGCTTTAATAAAACATCAACAAGAACCTCTACACATGTATGTCATTTAAAAAAAGCCCTCTATGGTCTCAAGCAATCCCCTCGTGCTTGGTTTGACCGCTTCACACAGGTTGTTCTTGCTGCTGGGTATAGTCAAAGCCAAGGGGATCATACTCTTTTTTACAAACACTCTCGCCCAAATGGAGTCACTATTCTTTTGGTATATGTGGATGACATCATTGTGACGGGTAATGATCCAGTTGAGAAACAACGTCTTGAGGGGCAGCTGAAATCCAAATTCGAGATGAAGTCTCTTGGCCCTCTAAAATACTTTCTTGGAATTGAAGTTGCTCGCTCATCTGAAGGCATCTTTATCAGCCAACAAAAGTACATTACAGATTTGTTAAATGAGACCGGTAAGAGTGCTTGTCGACCGGTTAATGCACCTATGGATCCTAATCACAAGCTTGGACTTGCTACTGATGAACCCAAGGTTGATTCATCAATGTATCAGCGCTTGTGTGGCAAACTTATCTATCTCTCTCATACTAGACCTGACATTGCCTATGCAGTTAGTGTTTTGAGTCAGTTCATGCATGATCCAAGGAAACCACATCTAGAAGCAGCCTATAGGGTTCTTCACTACCTAAAAGGAAGTCCAGGGCAAGGGATAATATTCAGGAAGGGTGGGCAATTATCAGTCCAAGCCTTCACTGATGCAGATTATGGTGGCTCCCTCGTTGACCGCCGGTCAACTACTGGTCTCTGTGTTTTCCTAGCAGGAAACCTCGTGACATGGAGAAGCAAAAAACAGAATGTTGTGGCACGATCATCTGCTGAATCTGAGCTAAGAGCTCTTGCCCATGGCTTATGTGAACTTCTATGGATCAGAATTATTCTCTTAGATTTACGAATCAAGTGGAAAGGACCAATGGAATTGAGGTGTGATAACAAATCAGCAATCAACATAGCTCATAATCCAGTCCAACATGATCGGACCAAGCATATTGAGATTGATAGGCACTTTATCAAAGAAAAGGTTGAAGGAGGTCTGATCGAACTAAGCTACACTCCCTCAGAAGATCAAGTTGCAGATGTGTTTACCAAACCTCTGCACAGTCCTAGGTTCCAGGGTCTTATTGTCAAGCTAGGCATGACGGATATCTACAAACCTAGCTTGAGGGGGAGTGTTGATAAAACGAAGAGACATCATTAATCTAGGATTTATTTTCCTTATTATTACTGTAATTATGTATCTTTAGTGCTTCAGGTTGTATTTAATAGCTGCTGTCTTTTCAGTTCTCAATCATTTATGTTTAGTATTTAGACAGTCACCTAGGGTGCTGAATAGACTCTCTCAGGATTCCTATCTGTATAAATAGCTTATGTACTTCTTGTAAATGAATTCAAGGAAATAATATTCAGAAAACTTCAGTTCTGTTATCCTAAATCAGGTTCGGTACCGGGATAGTCTAATTCCCGTTCCATCCCGTCCCGTGCCCACCCCTAGGAGTTCTATGTTTCATAAAATTAAAATGTGCCCACACAAAATGCAATGCGACAAGAAAGAAAATATGTGAATTTGTTTGTAAGAAACAAGTACCGTTTGGTAATTTAAAACATTATGAGTTATCAAGTCATAACACCACAAATAAATCATCAACCCTCGAACAATCAAAACTTCCATAAAGTCTCATTACCTCTAACCAGAATGTCCAGTTCTCACTACTTGCACCGCTTAATCTACAAATATATGAAGGAGGGCCATTGCCATCTCTTTCTGGAACTGAAAAAAAACACAGTGATTAACAAACAACAAGAAAAACAAATCATTTCATTCAGATGTGTCATGTGTGTTACCTGGAAGTTTGTTATTTGCAAGTGACCAGCTGAATAAAGGGCCTGTTATATTAAGAACTGAAACCCAAACTTCCTTCATGGAGCTATAAGCAGACAAAAAGATACTACGTATAAATATTTTATCCATGTGAAGTTAAGATAGTATACATTAAAATAGAACACTGATATACAGTAACTAGTAATTCCAATGGGTTGAAGCAAGTTGCTGCATCATAACTGACCCCCCCTCCAGATTATAAGAAAAGTCACCATAACTCAACATTGAATGGATTTGAAATAATAATTCATATATGGAATGGTGGAGCAATGGGACAGTAGTTGTGTAAATTTACACTACATCATAACTCCAAAGCACCTTCAAGTATCATACAACAAACGTCGAGTAGCAGGGCAGTCATAATGTAACATCAATAAAGAGTAGTATGACATTACATGTAAGGCTACACTATAACATGCTAAGAAGTATATACACAAAATATCATTTGCAATGAGAGGAAGCAGTTAAGAAACCGTTTCATTTCCTAATACAACAAAACAGTGTACCAAAACTCGGAACGAACCGGCCAGTTTGACAGGCCAAAGGTAGAACCAGTCCGGCCAGTTTGTCATGCAATAAACTCGTTTCCAGCCAATTTTCCAGTCCAATCCGTGAATCTATGAAATGGTCAAGACCATTTTTTTTTCCTTTTTAATGACCCCCCCCCCCCCCCCCCCATCGCACACTCATGCACTTAACTCACTAAGTTATTAAGGCAAGTATGTACATTTTGAACTGGAAGTAAACATATAAGTTGTGCCTATCACACAATCAAACAAACTAACATAATAGGTGATGATGGTATATTTGAAAGCAAGACATCCAACTTGCACTCATGTGCTCAACCCCTACTCATGTGCATAACTACTTTGCATTAATCATATAGTAGTTTTATCTATCAAACAGTAAAAAAACTGATTGTAAATCATTATTGTATTTTATAATTAACATATTTTTATAGTTATGTGTCTGTATTTATATAGACATGTTATCATTTTTTTTCAAATTGGCCAGGTCAGGCATGTTCCACTATTGACCCATTGAGTCAATGTCCAGACCGGGTCAACAACAGATCCGAGATGTAAACCACTGCAACCAAATATTACTTGGGGCATTGACTTATCAATAATAACTTCTGAAGTGGAAAGAAAAAAGTGAATTCAATATTCTGCAACTTGCAAGCATCGATATCAATCTTAGGACAGAATGAAGTTCAGTCTCAAACTAAATAAAATTCAATGGTCAGCTTACCCCAAAGCAAATTCCAAGTATATTCTACGATATCCACCACTGAGATGCTCCTGGGGCTTGTGATTGAATAAATGTGGAAAGCTTTTGTATTGATTCATGATTAAATCAGGCTCTGTAGGGAACTTAAAACTTGTTGAAAATATGTTACTTACTGGGAAAATTCCCTGCAAAGAAACAACGTCAAAGCCACATATTTTTACTTAGTTAAACTCTTCAGGAAGATATAATATACTATACTGCTACAATATCCAAAATGGTATAAGCTACATACAGGAAAATAGAAAATCTTCATAGGAAAAAAATCTGATTATGGGCTTTACTATGTGCACGATTAGTTATCTAGTTATTTTGGACATTGATTAACTTCTGTAGATACAAGCCTTGAGATGCATCATATTATTTCATTTTCGTGCCTTGATGCCTTCCATCATGTTAAGGTCTATCACTCATTCTTTAAGCCCTGTACCCAGATATCATACCTGATCTCAATTTGAGCCCAACGAGCCGAATTAGAGTTTTGTAAATATTAAAGAGCCGAGCTTGAGGGATTACAATTATTTAGAGCTCGAACTCAAGCTTATCTAAGTTTGAGCTTGGCTCAGCTCTTTGTTAAAATTTGGAAGTTTTAGAAAAACATGGAAGTGTTGAATATTTGAGGATTTAAGTAAAAACTTTATATTTACTGCAATGGAAAATGAAATGTGGACAGCGGTTAGGATTTGCAGAGCCCAAATTCCAAGCAAAATTAACTATAGCGATAGCATAAAAACAAGACAAGAGTAAAAGCATCTAAATTATTTACCATCCAATCGTCAGGGTGAGACTTAGCAACACTATGAAGAGATAAATTTGTGTTAATATGCAGCTCCTTCGGCAATTCAGGTGAGTGTTTAAAAACAAAGAACATTGAGTTGGAATCTGTTGTGGCAAAATCGTAACTGGAGCTCATAATTTGGCTGGAACCTAGAAGAAATATTACAGATAAATCATTAGATTATAAAAAATGCCAGAGTACAAGCTAGTGTAATTTATGTGTGCTTAAAAGGTAGATAAGAGTTCATGACATCAGAAAATACTGATTGAAGTGACTTATACAAACAAACACAAAATATAAATTGTTAACAAAGTAATATTGGGGCGAATACCAAAATGGTAAAAAAAGAGGGTGATTTACCAAAATGGTAAAAAAAGAGGGTGATTTACCAAATTGGTAATAAAAACCCTCCGCCGACAAATTGGCCAATTTTTGTGAGTGAGGCAATTTTATACTCGACTTTAGATATCACGACATTTAGTCCACAAGGTATTGTGACATTGATATTCAGTCCTACTTTGATTTTGTCATGAAAAGTGGAGGACTAAAATGTCTACAGGGTGTGTGAAAATCAGCACTTGGCTGCTAGCTAATAATTAGTTGAATCAGCAGATTGATACTAGCGAATTTTGTTAGCTTTTCCAACCAACCGCTTTCATTATCAGTTTGAAGTGAAATGTTAGTAAATTAGCAAACACGCATATATCTAAAAGTATATGTATTTAACTTAACTTTATTTCTTTATTTTTAATAAGTTTTGGGAAAAGTTTCAAAAAAAATTAATAAGTTTTGGGAATTTTATCGATTCAGGACCCGAAAGATAGATGAATTATCAATCCGGTAACTGAAAGATGAAATGTATCGATATAGGACCTGGATGATGGAAAACTATCAATTTAGGACTTGAATGATTGGAAATTATCAATTTAGGACCTAAGTTGTCCGAAATTTTATTAATTTTTTTATCTTAAAATTTTTAAATATTATTTAGTTTTATGAAACTAATAAACTTTTGTGAAGAAAAGTATATCAAAAATTAGCAATGGAATTAATAAAAATTAAATAAATCAAAACCTATGAAATTTTAGGTCCTAGATTGATAGTTTTTCATCATTCGGGTCCTATACCGATAGATCTCATCTTTCAGGTCCCGAATTCGTAATTCATCTATCTTTCGGGTCCCGAATTGATAAAATTCCTTTAAATAACTACTACCACTATAATTTTTAGCATAGGTAGTTATGTACATTAACGCGAGCACACACATATAAATTTATTCATTTTGGTATTAATATTTTAAAAATGACAATTTTATTATTTTTTAAAATTCTACTCCATATAAAATAGGAAAAATATTCATAGTGATTTCATTTTCATTTCATTTTCATTTACCCCAGTGTCGCAAAGGCTCCCACCTACGGTGGGGTAAGGGGGGTCGGATGTACGCAGTCTTACCCCTGTACTAAAGCACAAAGAGACTGTTTACGGATGACCCATAGTGAAAATCCCGTCCAAAATTGCATGGACTGACTGTTTCTTCATAACAAATAAGCGCAGACAGTTTAGTGAGCCATTTTGCTTTATTCCATCATAATCTCAAGCCAAAAAATAATGAATCTTTGGCTCCATTGCAAATGATGGAAAAAAATAGTGATTTTGTGAACTATATGAACTGTATTTCATTATAATGAATCTTAATGTAAAGAACTATACAAGTAGCTATATTTATAACAAAAACTAGAGCACTATGGTTACTATACAAGACGGGCTAAGCCCAATACAACTAGGGTTTCAACACTCCCCCTCAAACTGGAGCATATAAATTATATGCATCAAGTTTGTTACAAATATATTGCATCCTAGGTCCTCTAAGAGACTTGGTTAAAACATCTGCAAGTTGATATGTTGTTTTGACATAATGAGTAGTAATATGTCCATTTGTGATTTTTTCTTGAATAAAGTGGCAATCAACTTCAATGTGTTTAGTCCTCTCATGATACACTGGATTGGAAGCAATGTGCATTGCAGCTTGATTATCACACATTAGCTTGACGGGTTTCATGCTTCCGTATTTTAATTCTTGGAGGAGATGCTTCAACCATAATATCTCACATGAAGCAAGGGTCATTGCAGTATTCAGCACTAGACCTGGCAACCACATCATGTTTCTTACTTTTCCAAGAAATTAAATTCCCAACAATCAAAATGCACTATCCAGAAGTAGAACGTCTATCCATTGGACATCCAGTCCAATTTGCATCACAATACCCAACAATGTCATGATGCCCTCGATCTTCAAAGAGTAATCCTTGTCCCGGAGTTTTCTTGATGTATCTCAAGACTCAGATAGTTGTGTCCCAATGTCCATTATATGGCTTATCAAGAAATTGACTAAGCACACAGACAGCAAATGAAATATCTGATCTTGTGATGGTAAGATAGTTCAACTTTCCAATAAGCCTTCTATCTCTCTTTATTGGGCAGGAGATCACCTTGTTCTGACACGAGTTTGCCGTTTGGATCCATTGGTGTATCCACTGGCCTACAATCCAACATACCTGCTTCCTCAAGAATATCCAATGCATGTCTCTAATAAATGCTCGCCGGAAAAACAGTTTCCTAACTACAGTGCGCTATATAAATGTCTCTGATACCATGTGAACTATATGAACTGTATTTCATTATAATGAATCTTAATGTAAAGAACTATACAAGTAGCTATATTTATAGCAAAAACTAAAGCACTAGGGTTACTATACAAGACGGGCTTCATTACTAAAACCCAATACAACTAGGGTTTCAACAGATTTCATAGTGACCGGGACCAGCCGGTTTCGGACCCAATCCGATCCCCAACGGATGGACAATTTGAAAAAAATAATAATTTGACGGACACCCGGACTAGGACTGGAATGACCGGTCTACCCGAGCCGGTTTGGGACAACTCTCTGTGGAGCAGGTGCAGGCTGCCGTGGAGCATAAAATGGCACGGCCTGGTGCTGATACCCATACGGTGGTCCTCTACCGCGTCCTCGGCCCTGCCTGCCGCGTCCCCTACCGCGGCCCCCTCTGCCGCGATTGGCATAGCCAGCTGGTGGCGGACCTCCTGCCGCAGCAACCGCGAAGGCTTGATGTCCAGCGGCTGGTTGTTGTTGGCGTTCAGACAAGACTCGTTGCTCTTCCTCCAAAAGTCGGGGTTGTAGAATATCATAGGGAAATTGGTCGGGGAATAAAGAGACACTAGTGACAAAGGACCGATACTCAGGAGCCAAACCAGCCAATATAGCTTGAAGCATCTCTTTATCCGACACGGGATAATTAATTGCCGCAAGGGCATCAACCACATTTTTAATTTCCCGTAAATAGAATGCCATAGATTGGCTGTCTTTCTTCTTTATATTAGATAACAATCGTTTAAGTTCCATGCATCTGGGTAGACTGGCAAACATAAATCGAGTCTGAAGTCTAGCCCAGATAGCAGCTGAATGTTTGAGGTCATGAACATCAACTAACACATCCCGAGTTAGAGTAGCAAACAACCAACAACGAATTGTTTGATCTACCCGAAGCCAATAATAATATTCTGTGTTTGGAACTTGACGATTAAGAAAATCAACAGTATACATCGGGGGTACCTGAATGGAACCATCAACAATCCCAATGAGGCCTTGAGAGACCAAGAATGATTCGAACTGTGTACGCCAGGTGAGATAATCCTCGACTGCCTTCAATTTAATGGTGATGATTTGAGAGACTGTGGTAATATGAGAAACAGACATCGGGGAACCAAATCCCGGTTGATCAGGCAGCCCAAGGGCTCCAGGTGACCCGAAGAAAGTGGGGCCGAAGAAGGAGTTCACTGGGCTGCAAACCAGGTGGAGGCGTGGGATTATGATCCTGCGGCTGGATAGGGGCAGGTATAGACCATGTATGCTGCGATGGGAACGACTTAAACTGATGAATAGGCGCAGGCATAGAGAAATTTGGAGGTGGAGGAAAATTGGTAAATAGCGTTGATGATGTCAGCGTCATAACCGGGGATTCGGTTGCGCTCGAAACTGCAGCCGTGGAGGCAAGAGGCATGGAGAAGCCTGGCTGTTCCGTCCAAGGAGGGATTGATGTATGCGCCAGCGCCTGAGAAGAAGTGGCAGCAGCGGCAGCCGAGCTCATGGCCGAAGACACCATGGTTGCGGCGTTGGAGAAGGGCGAATTGCTCATGGCGGCGGCGTGGAATTTTAGGAGAGAGAGAAAAAATTAGGTTAAGGCTCTTGATACCATGTGAGACAATAGGCTCTTATTTATAGTAAAATAAGAGTTGCCAAAATACACAAGGATTCCTAATTTATATTAACTATTACTCTAGCGGGCCAATCCCGGGCCTCCCTTTTATTTGGAAAGGATCGGATCAGACCGGGTCCATGCCAAGCTATCAGCTAGCAGCCAACCATTGATTGTCAAACATCCTCATTGACATTTTTAGTCTTTCACTTTTCAAGACAAAATCAAATTAGAAGGATTGAAAATGTCGATTTCACCATACTTGGGGAACTAAATGCCGAACATTCTAAAGTCGAGGATTAAAAGTGTCTCACTCGCAAAAAATTGACCAATTTGTCGCCGGAGCTACTTTTTTTGCCAATATGTTGCCGGAGTTTTTTTTACCGATTTGGTAAACCGCTTTTTTCCATCATTTGCAATGGAGCCAAAGACTCACTATTTTTTGGCTTGGATATATGATAGAATAAAGCAAAATGGCTCACTGAACTGTCTACTCTTCTTTTCCATGGAGTAGCAGTCACTCCATGCAATTTTCGACGTGATTTTCACTATGGGTCATCCGGAAACAATCTCTTTGTGCTTTAGTACAGGGGTAAGATTGCGTACATCTGACCCCCCTTACCCCACCATAGGTGGGAGCTTTTGCGGCACTGGGGTAATGATGATGATGATGTTGGTACACCGCCCTCTTTTTTTTTACCGAATTGGTAATTTGGCCGTAATATTGGCTTAAAGTAGAATATTGATGGAAACTTTGTTAAAAGATTTTTACAACAATCATCCATCCTAAAGATATTTACCACTCATCCATTCTCAAGATTTTCACCACACTACACTATTTTTTGTTGGCCAAGGAGTTGTTAACCACCTAGAAAGGGGGTGGTTAAGATTCCAAAAAGTTAAAAGATAGAAAACAGTGAAAATTGTTGTGCTAGTCCCTATCTTCAGATTTAGTGCATCCTCAGAGTATTTAAGACAAGTCTTAGAAAGGAAAACCAAGCTAAGTCAAATCTATTTTCACAATTGTTAACCGCTTGACTTGGTAAGACAGATAGTGTAGGTTTTGTCCAAAATTGTTGTCGGGCCTTCCTGACCGGAACCCCGTCTGGCCGCCTCTATTTGAGGTGTTTGCGGGTGAATAATTTTTATGAAATTTTGTGAGCATGTTTTTCATGAAGTGTAGATTTTGTCCACAAATTTTCAGCTTAAATTTCAATCGGGAAATAAACTATTGAAAAACACTGCGCCAATATATATATAACAAACACAGTGTTTTTCAATAATTTATTTACCTGACGTCCCGATTGAATTTAAGCTGAAATTTTGTGGACACGATGTACACTTCATGAAGAAAATGGTCACAAAATTTCATTAAAAATTCCATCCAAAAGCACCTCAAATGGAGGCCGCCCGGACAGCACTTCCAGTTAGGCCTTCCTGATAGGAAAATTTTTTCTCCTTTTTGTGTGTGTGTGTATAATAAAAAAGGATAAAGAACATAAGAAAGATAAAGAAGATAATAGGAAAAAATGAGGGGGAGGGGAAGATGGTAAGAGATCAATCTGCCACACAAATACCAGCACTTTCAAACTTTGTATGCGTTTAAAAATACTAGAAGCAATATTCTAGGCAAGTGGCAGCAATACGGTTCCAGATACCCCAGACTTGGCCAAACAACTATCACAAATGAGATCCCATAAGCTACTACATTGCAGCCTGATCTTATATTATAATACCTGGAGAATGCGGTTATGGCAGACAATGTGTAACAAACCGTGAAAACAAAAATCAATTTGATCAACCTAATAGCAGAGCTAGGTTAATAGTCTTCAGAATTCAATTGATTCACTTTATTTATTTCAGGTTGTGAGACACTAAATCAAGACACTTCTTTAGAAGAGCATCAGAGCACAGCACTCTACGAGCTCTGGGCAAGACATCACACTTGCTAAGCCTTCATAGTATCCGTTTTCATATCAATTTAGAATCTTTGTTCCACTTCCAATTTAATTCTGCTCTGCCTCTGTGCATTCTAACAAGGAACAAGTTAGTCTGGCCTGGTGCTGATGACACATGAATTCTCGTGTCAGTACCAAGTACCGACAATCGGATGAAATGACATAGAGGTTGAGAATTGAGATGCCCATTCAATGGTGAATGAAGTTCAAGGTACACACAGTACCTATTCAATGTACTATAAGTCCGCAGCGAGCGGCTTTTTTAGCGACGGTGAAATGACTCCAAATTTTTTAGATAGGGTCACCGCATAATAACCCTTCTTCCTGTGTAGGCGGTGACGAAAAAGGAGTAGCGGATAGCAACAAATCTGGCAAGGAGCAATGCTGATTTTCTACCAGTGGCAGAGCAATCATGGTGAGATTTCAAGTGGTGGATCGTGTTGACATTCCGAGGTTGCGCTGGTGTTTTTGGCTTGCTTTTGGTAACACACTACCAAAAAGTCCTTGGTAAACAAAAAGTCGCCGTAAATGCAGAGTCGCGCTAGATAACTATGAAAAATAGACAAAAACTTCACTAGAAATTAGAAAACTCTGATACTGATAGAGAGCGGGAAGAGCATGGGGCGGGACCGGGCTTGGGCTCACTTCCGTGGGCCGAGTTAGGGCTGTCGTTATAGTTTAATTATTATTATTATTAAGTTAATGTTATGTTTTAGTTTGGGCCTATTATTAGTAGAGTAGTTAGTTGAGTTAATTTGGGCTTAATTAGGGTTTAATTAATATGGGCTTGATTAGGGTTTCGTGTAGAAGGCTATTTATACCCCTCGCCGGGGTTCATTCTTATTATCTGGGAATAAAGTTAGAGTTTAGCCTTTTGGCTTTGGGCAACGGTATTTTTATCGTTGATTATCTGGGCAACGGTTTACCCCGTTGATTTTATTTTTCTGTTACATATCAGATACCATGTGAAATATAAGACTTTCATTCTTATTATCTGACTTCAAAGGATTTGTAAAAGGTATAAGGCTAAATAAATAAAGTGGGCTAGGACCAATACAATTATGATTAGAATTTCAACAAGAATATTGTTAAAACTCCCATGTTTTTTCACTTCTTTGAACATGAAAAAAAACTAATGATAATTTAACATTGTGAACATGCAGTTCATTTTTGTGAAGTCATTAAGGAGATGAAATTATTACTGTGAACTTTCGCGGTAGGGATTATATTTTGTAAAATGTGTGAACGTAGAAATTATTGTTACCAATTTCGCCTGAACAACATTGTATGTCTTAACAGAGTAATAATTTGAGTGTTGATCATATTAAATTTTATTTTTGTTGGGAGAAAGTTTTAGAGCTGCAAAAAAACAAAAGTATAAAAATGCAAGCAATAGGTTAAAATACCTGCATTCCAAATTGTATGCTGAAAAATAACTCTTTTAGGTGCCTCAGTGCTGTATGGAAAGAACTGTGATGACACGGCCAAGGAAAGCATACCAACGTGCACCAAGAATTGCATTATGGATTGTCTCGCTAAATGTTGGCCAACAATAGGTATAAGAGGCCCAATACACCAACCACTTACAACTCCAATTATGGCAGCTACTAGAACATCAGGAATAAAATAACCTGCAAGTATTTGGCATTCATACATAAGATGAAGAGATCATTAAAGCTGACCTAAAATCTCAAATTTGGGTCCCAAATTATGGAGCATAAAAGTTATAACAAATTCATAGTGTACTGGGTTAGAAACACCAACCATATGGAGAAGGGTTTGAGCCAGACATTCCCATTTTCTCGAGCACAAAAACAATCAGAAACCCTCCAAAGTAAACCGCATACATCAGGCAAGGAATCAAAGGTATTACATAAGATGCAGTTGACCTGGTAAACAATTTTTATAAAATTAACTTATATATCCAAATAAGTTGTATCCAAAAAGGCAAGATTGAAACAACTTTAATAAAATATATCCAAAAAACAGGCTTACGGGCTTCACTCTTTGGAAGCATATGGTAGGTTAAACTAGAAATAAAATGTACTCCCTCCGTCCCAATTTGTTTTGCAAAATTTCCTTTTTAGATCGTCCCAAAATGATTTTCCACTTTCCATTTTATGTATAGAAATATTATCAAAGTGACATGTTTACCCTTGTATCCGCCACCCACCCATCCAATTATTAATTCTCATCCATCTCTTTTCAGACCCTTCTCTCTCCCAATTTCCCCAAATCGAAACAAGAATCATCTCTGTAAAATGGAAGAATCGGCACCAGATTTCCGCTTGGTTCGTCAGCTCCGGCTCACGGAAGAATCGGCAGCAGAGCTCCTTTGCTTGGTCCATCAGCTCCATCTCCCCCCTTCTCCGTCGCCACTGCACCGCCCTTGTGCAACCTCAAAAGTCAGTCGCTGCCACCCTCGTTGAACCAGATGCTTGCGTCTCAGGTTGAATCGTTGAAGCGGCGGGAGAGTTGCGGTCGAAGAGAGACAGGACGGCAACAGATGGGTACTCTTGATGTCCATTAAGCGTGGATGTCCCTAGATCTTCCAGATTTTAAAAAAGATGAGGGGGTAGTAATGTTTCAGTACTTATTTCTTGATTCTCCACAGTTAGAATTATATGAAGCTACAAGTCACTAAGGAAGGAGATGAGTATATTGGCCCCATTCAAGAAAAGTGCAGCAGAGTAAGTTAATTAGGATGATTCAGAAGAGTAGAAATGGAAGCTCTGTATTTCAGTATTTCCTTAGTGTTTCCTTCCGTATTGTAATGGTTGTATTGAAAAGTGTAAAAGTTGGGAAGGGGTGAAGTACTTTGTACGGAGTATTATCTTCCGGTTGATTTTGTAATGGTTTGAACAGTATGTTTGTAGAGTGCTTTGTACAGCCATTTTTCTTACTCATTATAAAAGAGAGGGTAGAATGGTAAAGTTAACTTTAATTTCTACACTTCCTTAATCTCCGTGCCGGTCAACTTTTGCACCTCAATTCGGGACGGAGGGAGTAATATGTATCACAGTATAGCTCATCTGGTGAGTAAGAATATCTAATACGTCTAAATGAGAATGCTTCTAATTTCATCAACAATAGGATGCAATAGCAGGCTACAGACAGAAATTGGAGAATGCCTTTTATTTCATCTGGCAAATACTATTATTGATGAAATATATCCAAATAGCCCCAGGCATGTTTCCCTAGTCATGAGCATATGTGAGGGTAGTTTTAGTCTGTAATAGAATATATAGCCATATGTTGTACTTCAGTATGATACTACGATTAAATACCATGTCTTATATCAAATTGAGAAAGTATTTATTCTCATAATCTCATCCACATTAAGATGTCCTCAGATGCTAATATCACAATGACAAAGAGAGGAAGAATATTGGCACAAAATGAAAAATAGCTGGATATACGAGATGGTTGTTCATATTTCTACCTGAGAGATTCATGGCCAAAAGTCTTGCTGCATAGGCAGAAAGAAATCCAAGCTGGAATCATAAAAACTAAAATTAAAAAAGTAAAGAAGCCTCCATTGAGTCCAGCTACAAGGTATGCCTGTTGAGAGAAAGAAACTTAGCCACATTCTCTATATATGTATAAGAAAGTATACCACCTAATTTAGAGGTAGCAAAACAAAATAATGCCAAACATTAGCTGTACAAATAATTTATCTCTCAACTTCATTAGCAGTAAAGAGAAACAACACATACCAATGTCACTACAGAGTAAAATCCAAAAGCTCCCCAAAATCTAGCTTCAGTAACCAATTCCTGCACAAAGAAGATGCAAGATGATAAGCATTAAAATTGCTGTAAGAGAGATGAACAAGCAAGTTATCAGGTCTATAAAGATTGATAATTACTTGCTGCCGAAAAGTAAAACCATACCTGATTTGATAATCCGGAATAAAAATTCCTTGACGAAGGAAAACCTCTCCAAACAAACTGAGGTATCAACAAACCAATAAGTGAGAAGGGTATAAACATTCCAAATGCCAGATATGGACTTGCGAACCTACGTTATGAAAGAAATATATACACATAAATATCTCAAAGAGGAAAATATTTTGCAGACTTGAAATCATGAAATAGGATAACAAGATGGTTTGACTACTAATCATTTAGAACCATTTAAAGCTATCAATGCTAGTGTTTAAAATATATGAATAAGCATAGATATTAGTTGAAGTAAATGCTAGTAGAAGTAAATGACAGCAAGTATCCGACTAATACCAGTTCATTGAATGCCCAGAAAAAAACAATCTCACAACAGCAGATATTACAGGAATTGCAATGGCTAGAACAAACCCAGCTGCATGGTATAGCATCGCTAGAAAATGGAAACAACAACATAATAATTACATAATGACGAGATAATAAATTAGTGAGGACTAATCAACCAAAAGATAATTCTAAAATCAGGAATGGCATTACCCTTGACATAAGCAAAAGATGTTGCAAATGAGCAAACCAATCCACATGCTTGAAAGCGTAAGAGGTGTGGCACAAGAAGAAAGATAGCAAGAGGAGTACTATGAAGCAGGATGGCTACCTTTCTAGTGTAGAATATCTGAATCATTTAAAAACATCAAAACACAGAGATGTCCATTAGATCACAATTTATCTCTGACTAATACTCAATAGTCAATACAGTCGAGTGTTTTACAAAAAAACGAAAAAATGTATGAGCATCCAAATTTAGATATTCATGCCATACCAAAAACCAAGAAAAAAAATCATAGTAAACTGCACGCTCATCAGCTAACCCCCCCGGTTGAGAAGATGCATGCAATTTGCGTTCATGTGCATTCCGAAGTTCAGTTGAGTTAGAGAAGGCTCTGATAAGACTGAACAAATTTTCCCCACGCGCTTGCATGCTTCCGGGCCTGGTTTAAAAATAGATGCATCAGATCAGGTACCAGGCAGTGAAAAATCTACATTTTTTAATTACGTGAATACTATACCGAATTAGGATTTTGATGCATACAGTAGTCTATCGACAGTATCAGAGGATGTGTGATAAAAATAACCCCCCAGCAGGAATATGATATCAAGTCCGGGAATATTTCCATAATCTTGAGCGAACATTCTGTAATCTGTATCACCGGGAACAAAACCAAAGACATCCTGCAAAAAACATTAGCGGAAGGTTTTGAGAAATACTGATTGAATTTTCTGGAAAGGCAGCTAAAGCGGGTTAAGTTCTAAAAGGAATTAAGAGGGGTAAATTGATATGTTTATTTCATATGCCACGTGTAACGTGTTATAGGCCTATGACTCTATGAGTGATAGGAGATGAAGACGAATGAGCTTCTTTTCTGGCTAAGGTGGCTAGTCAGAAACTCACGCAGCACAGAGGAAGGGGGAGAAGAATTCGATGGAAAAAAATATCCAAGAATATTTCTTTCAATTCCAACTAGCCTTTCAATTAAAAAAAATGGTTTCCAATTTAAAGGAATCACGGCTGATGTCAATTTTGTTATTTAAAAGGATAAAAAAATTGCTAACTATAAAGAGATTCCCAAGTAATATTATTTGCAATGATACAAGGAAACCAGATACTCAAATCAATTAATTTATGTAATGCAGCATCACTTCCCTCATGGAGATCAAGCTTGTCCCCAAGCTTGAAAACAAGAAAATAGCACTAAATGTTTGTACCAGTAGAAAGAGCAAGTGATACTTGTAGTATTCTTCAAGGAGAATGGAAGTGTGTTACAGAGGTGAACTGAAATGAAGGTGAGCAACATCCCTTAGAAATGCGCATGCAAGGCAATGGTCAAGTGAGACAATTAGGCCGATAAAAATGGATCCAAAGGTAGTTTTGGGCAGTTTTTGGGTGCGCAGGGCACTGTGGGTGTTGAGGGCAGCATGGCAGTAAACGTTGCGGAGGTGGAAAAAGCGCTGGCAGTTTTGGAGACCGAACATGAGGTTGTCAAACTTGATAGAATTGTCTGGTAGTTGTGGATATTAGAAATCAATTTGGGTTGGTCAATGGTTTCAGATTCATCTTCTGGGATTGAGGATTAGCTCTGAGCAATCATGAGTTGTTACTTGTTAGACCATCTTCACTGGATTAGTAAGCGGTGTGACTTGCACAAGTTTTGCTTAAAGGGGGCCTATGGTGAAGGAGAGGTTCTCAATTTTTTCAGCTTAAGCCTCTGAGGCGCGGAAAGATTTTTGGAAGGCTTGAAAATGGGTTCATTGGTAATGTTACTGCTTCCAAAACCGGAATGGGAACATCAGAATCTTGACATGATCTTAGACTATAGTGCGCGTTCTGGGTCTATGATCAAAAGAAAGTGGGAGGGATGACCATATGAGTGAATTGAAGGGCTGAGGGGGTAAAGAGCATAGGCTCATAGATTGGGACAGAAATTAAAGGTTATTTCAATTCACATTTGTAGTCATGAACTTCAAATCTTCAATTACAAAACACCTTCCTATTAAAGGAATTCGAATTGTAATTTAATAGGAAGTGAATACTCCCATTAAGTAGGAAGAGGTCCCAAATAACTTTACTTGCAACAAACCATGGAAAATAATTTAATCAAAAATAATTAATTGTGGAATGCAACATAAATCCAAACCTGAGCTGCACTATTTGCGGTAGGATATAAAGCTGAATTTGCATAAACTTGTGATGGCCAAGAACCCGGTCCAGATTGACACACCAAATCTGTTGAGTGAAAAATACGCTTAAAAGTTAGCAAGTATTCCACACTCCAACTGTAAAGGAAGATGTAGGAAGTGCAAGAAATCAAAATCTTGACACTTTCTGATGCAGTATAAAAGAATATTTTGTTCATTCCTATACAACAACAACAACAACATCCAAGCCTTAGTCCCAAAAGATATTGGGGTCGGCTAACATGAATCGATACATGATATCAACAACCAATTTTGTTCATTCCTATATGGTGACAAATGTGCAATCACAAATCTAAACCAAATTTGCTTCATGTAGGTACAATTTCCTATATAGTGACAAATGGCAACCACAAGCAAATTTTTGAAAGTAAACTATATGTAACTCCTCCTAAGACCAAATGCAACATGTAACAGCACCTTGATTTAAAAAAGAAGAAAAGATCAAACCCCACTTCAGGTTTAGTTTCAACTTCATAAGAATAATTAACATGTCAACAGTGCCTGAACTATGTGCACATAGTAACTACTACCTCCGTCCCAAAAGGTTTGATACATTTTGACTTTTCTTGGTCAATGGTGGTAAAGTTTAGACAATGATTTTAGGTATTATATTTGTTTGTAATTTATAAATTTTATACTTTTATGTAAGATTTTTTAATAAAGAATATGTTCATATAATTTTCATATTTTAAATAATTTTGTATTAGAAGATATCATTGGTCAAACTTAACCATCATTGACCAAGAAAAGTCAAAATGTATCAATCTTTTTGGGATGGAGGGAGTAATAAGCAATCAATTACCCACCAGAACCCCCTATTCCAGAGGCCTCAATGTTTATGAATGCTCCAACTGTATCACGCCATCTATGTGTTGTGATGAACCCATGTGAGCCCTGAAAATAAAAAGTATGATAAAATACCTAAACAAATAAAAGTATGCCCATTTGGCCATTTTTGCAAGTTACTGATAAAGCTCTTAAGATACACACCCACTTTCACAAAAGTACCCTTTGTTGCCCCATATTGTAAATTTTTAATCATGATGAAACAGACCTTCCCTTTAAGAAATAATTAAATAAAAAGTATTTGATATTATTAACCAAAATTATTTTCATGTCAGCAGTGTGACACTAATTCTATGATAACAGAAATATGCAACTTAAACCCATGTTGATAGTAACTAGATACAATATCATTGAAATGTAAAATTAGTAATATACACAGTTACCACTTTTCAGTGCTGACAAAGACCGGGATGTTCATGACTTCATGTTGCAGTCTGTGCCAGAAAATGGACCGTGACCAGACACCCAATAGATTTAGTCATTTAGATGCGGTCCTTGGTCCCAAAAAAATTAAGAATTTAAGATTTTGGTCTTCAGTCTCATTCAAGACAGAATTTTTTGGTCCTAAACGGTTAGGCCTGAAAGACAATATGTGTGCGCAGACAAATATATATACATATGTATGTATGATGTAACTACATACACACACACACATATTTGTACATATGGAATTTGATTCAAATAAAAAGTACCCCCTATGTGAAAAATGAGAAATAATCATGACCATTGGTTTTATAGAACAATTTTAATGGACAAAACGCGGCAGCATTATACTAAATATGAAAAAATATTTAATGAAAAAACAATAAAAAAGTGCATTATTTTATTTAAAAACTGCACTTAATTCTAATAAAAGTGCATCAATGGCTGAAATAAAATATCATCATCATCACCATTACCCCGGTGCCGCAAAGGCTCCTACCTATGGTGGGGCATCTGAAATTAAATGTGAATGGATAAAAATGTATGATAAACAATTTTGTATAAGCAACATATGCACTCGTACTAAAAAAAGAATTGCACTTTTTTTCACTGAATGTTGTACATTTTTGTTTCACTTAATTACAATCATGTCACCGCGTGTTTTAAATGAAGAAAGATTCAACCCATCCATGTTTTTGCAATAGATAGCTGATGCCCATTCTTGCATTAAAAGGTAAGTGAAGCAAATCTGTATCTTAATTTAATGTGTATAAAATTAAGGTTGGTTAAATTTAGTGTTAATTCCTCTTAAAATATATCACTAATTATTTGTAACTAAATTACTTAAATATAGGTTTATTCTATAATAATATTTTAAGATATGATAAAGGCCCAATTGGTCCGATCTAAGTTAGGTGTGGTGCCGTTCGGGACAGTATATTGGTCCAAGATTTTTTGAATTTTCACTTTTCAGTATTCAGTATGGTATTGGACCGATGAAAGCCCCTAACGAAGAGCACATTAGAAATCACTAAATCACATGGTCATCCTTTTTTATGGTCATCTATATCACTGAAAATTTGAATACAATAGCACTCAAGAGCATGTTTTATTGATAATCAAACAAACACAAAAGCTGCACTTTAGTGTTAAGTGTTTGATACAGTACCGGCAGAGGCTGGGATGAGTAAGCCTTGGGTTACGTATGTCAGGAGGAAGGGAGATTGATTTTCAGTTAGTTTTATTGAGTCAGCATTTTAATTATTGTATTTTCTTTTATTCGTCCTAGGATTGAGTCAAGAAGTCTTTGCTGAATTCTAGTAGTTAGTTCCTGGCACTTCTCCAACTAACATAGTGGAGTAGTGGGTAGTGGAGTAGTGGGTTTCCTAGGCTAGTATTTACTATTTAATAGAAGGTCTTGTTCTCAGTTGTAATCATCTGAATTCATCATTAATCAAAGAAAGAGTCGTAGGACTGTCTTCCTGCAAATTATGCCTCCTTGCTAGATTCTGGCATTGAGTGGTCTATTAGTGTTTAGTCTTTCAACTGGCATTTTAAATTGTCAAGTTGTAGCAGCTAATAAGAAATTGCTCTATTGAGAAGGAATGTATTGAAGAAGTTATTACCAGCATAAATAGCTCTTCTGCGCCATTGAATAAAAATATGATTGGTCTAGGAGGAACCCAGCCTGAATCAATTGCAAGTCTGGCTAATTCAAGTAATGCAGCTGGTAAAAAGAAGTGAGAGTGCAATCAAGATACAATCAGAGGGTGTTACACGGCAGTAAATGAGATAACACCCAAAAACCTACCAACACACGAGCCACAATCACCAGCTCCCGGGGAACCAGGTGCCGTATCAAAGTGACCATTTAGTAAGACTGATGGGTCATCATCTCCTGATTGCAACGATGAGATTCTACAACTCAAGACAAAAATAGTTAATGTCATATACACAGTATGTATTTCAACGTTTTAGGCACTATGCCAACAGCTTGGTCTTAAATGGGGGATAGTTTTAGGAAGCACCTCATAGCTATATTAGTATGGTTCCTATAAGCAAATGAGATGCTGTAACCTAAAAAGATCATGCTGAAAGAACCATTCACTACAGTCTCTTCTATCTCTACCCTGCAACATAACACCAGTAAGCTTACAAACTTCAGAGAGCATAACATCAGTAAGCGAACATAACTAAACTATGTGTAGCAAAAGAAGGAAAGAAAATGAGAAACAACCGAACATTGAGCCTAGCTCGCTCCTTCATGGATTCCAACTGTGCTTTTATATATTCAGCAGCTTGTCTCAAACCCGGAGTTCCTTCCTACATTAATTAGTTTAGGGTTTAAAGGGGCTTTGAATACAACAGTTACAACACATTTCTTGCAATATTTTGCTTTCTTTTTAGATTAAATTTAACTTCATAATAAGCAGATGAGAATGAAACGAAATGGCGTAGACATAAATTGAAGACGCATATAATTCGCAAACCTGGCGTAAACCAATGTCTTCTGCTAAGACGCGGACGTGTTCGATGGCTCTGGCTTCGGAGAACTGATGGAGTGGAGCATCAATTCCTAGAGGCGTGATAAACTTCAAGTGAAGTACGGCGTACGCCAGGATTGACATCAGTCCATAGAGAACAGCGAGCGAGAAGAACACCTTGAATCCGACTATGTCTCCGGATTTCAGCGTCAAAGCCATACCGGTAAAACTTCTGCTTCCGGTTCCGAACGTGGAATCTGCAGCAGTGAAGAGTATAAAAAGCAGGGGAGATGGGAATAAAAGTACGAAAAGGAAGTGTTTGCCAAAAGAGCTATGCTAAATTGGGCGGGCCCCTTAAATGGGTTGCAACTTTGGGTAACTTTAGCATTTTACTTTAAGGTAATAATAATATAATGCTGCCCAAAGAATGTAAGTACGTACTTTAAGGTAATAATAATATAATGTCTCGTATTAAACTGTATGAGTCGTATGACCCGTTAAATATGAAAAACCGGAGATACCAAAACTAGAAAAGGAAAAATAGGTAATATTAATCTCAACTATATCCGGTCCGCTTTTAATAATCCTTAATATAGATTATTTCCCTATAGTCTCAACTTTGGGCCCCATTTTCTTAAAACACTCCGCTACATCGAAGACCGGTAGTATCATTAAATTAAAGTGTTAAACATCCTAACAGCCATGTCATTACTCCATTCTCATACCAAACATATTTGCTCACCTACCATCACAGCCGTAGAACATGAACTTGGAGGAACCGCTGACACCTTGACTGTCTTGCACCGTCGTCGTAGTCGCCGGTAAGTAGGTGAAGAAATCAGAATAACTCCAAGTACCCAGACTGTCTGTGCACGGTTCTCACAGTCCAAGGTAAAGACCTGAACTTTTATGCTCGTTCATGAAATGTCAGTGTTATTTAGGGTTATATCGGTGTGTTGAATTTTTATGTTGAGTCGTGAACTGCATATCATGTTTTTAGGTATGAATTGAGATGGATAGTTCAACTGTCATTACAATTAAGATGTGGCATGGAGGTATCTTTAAGAATAACAATCTGAAAAAGTTGGAGTACGTAGATGGTGAATACAAATGTTTTGAAATTGATGCTGATGAGTTGTGCTGGTTTTGGTTAGAAGAGTTAGCTGGTAAATGTGGAAAATACAGCAGTATTGATGACATTTATTACTTGATTCCTGGTCAAAGCCTGCAGAACGGTTTGAGAAGAGTTAAGCTTGATGATGAGGTCAGGGAAATGTACAAAGTAGCTATGAAATATAAGATCATTGACTGCTATATAAGACATGGACTAAGCTTACCAGAATTGGTGCTACTACTTGAAGGTGGTGGGGAAAATGAAGGGGGGACTACTGAAAAAGGGGTTAATGATGGGGTAAAAGGGAGTTCAAGAAGTTCAGCTACTGTGAGTGGAACTGAACCAATTACAAGGAAGGCACCACAAACCTCTGGTTCACAAGCACAAACTTCAAATAGTAAAGATGCAACAAAGGATGAAGAAGATCATGATGAGGAAGAACATGATGAAGGTGCGGCCTTTTCAGATGATCTGGGAGAAGAAGATGGTGAGGAGTTAGAGGTTCCACTTTTTTGATTTGATGAGGACACCAGTGATGAGGAATTTAGAGAGTCAAGAAGAAGAGTGAATGGTTGGAATTCTAAGATTGTGAAGAAATATGAAAAAAATAGACAACTAAAGGCACCCTGGGTAGCAGCACAATTCTTGGAAGTTTTTAAGTCCACACCTCATTGGCCTGCAAAGGAAATCATGGAAACAATTAGGAGAGCTTACAAAGTTCTTGTGAAGAGGGACTTTGTATACAAGGTGAAGTATCATGCTCACAGAAAATTTCATGGTAGTATGACAGAACACTACAATAAGCTTGGTAGGTATTTGGAAGCTCTTAATAATGCTAACCCCCACAACCATTTCAAGTTGTTCACTGACCCTACTATAAAAAGCTTCCCTCCTACATTTCAGAGGTTCTTTGTGTGCTTCAAAGGGTTAAAAGATGGATGGTTGAGTGAAGGTAGATATGTTATGTGTATAGATGGATGTTTCATCAAAACATTCTTAGGTGGGATGCTTTTGTCTGCCATAGGAAGAGATTCAAATGGCCAAATGTTTCCAGTAGCTTGGGTAGTAGTGGAAGGGGAGAACAACTCAAGCTGGGAATGGTTCTTAGGTGATCTGAAGAAGAATGTAGACACTCTAGCTGGTGTTGATCTCACATTCATTTCAGATGAACACCAGGTCATTTGATGAAGCTGTTTTATATCCATCTACTTTGTTCTTAGCTCTTATTTGTTTTTCTAACTGTTTATGTATTATTTGGCAGTCCATATTGAGGGGAGTGGCTAAAGAATTCCCTTTGGCTGAGCATAGGCACTGTGCCAGACATGTATTTGCACACTGGCATAAAAATCACAAGGGTGATGAGATGAAATGCTCTTTTGAAAAGCTGCAAAAGCATACAATGAAGCTGATTTGGAAGAAGCTCTGGAAGAAATGAAAAGGGTCAACCCGGCTGCAGTGAGTTCATTTAGATCATTGAACCCATCATGTTTTTGTAGAGCATTTGTTAGAATAAACACTAAATGTGATGTCATTGTTAGTAATATGGCAGAAACATTTAATGGTTATGTAATAAATGCTAGAGCAAAACATATAACTTTCATGCTTGAGGATATTAGGGGTGCTTTAATGCAAAGGATAGTTCTTAAAAGACAGCAGATGGAAAAAATACAAGTATGTTGTGTCCTAGAATTAAGGCTAGGCTTGAGAAAGAAAAAGATGAGGCTGCCAATTGTACCCCTTTACCATCTAGCCAGGTTTTATTCCAAGTGTGCCACAAATTAGATTGTTTGACAGTAAATTTAGAGGCTAGAACCTGCACTTATAGGAAGTGGGACTTGAGTGGAATACCATGTTGTCATGCCATTTCTTGCATTTTCTTCATGAATGAGACTCTTGAGAACTATGTGCATACCTGCTACACCAAAGACACTTATCTGAAAATGTACTCAGGGGGTATTGCACCCCTAACTGGAGAGAGACATTGGCCCAAGGTTGATATGCCAATAGACCCTCCACCTATTAAGATTGGGCCAGGTAGACCTAGGAAAAATAGAATGAAGTCTCCCCATGAAAACTCTAAGAAGCCAGGAAAATTAACAAAACATGGTGTTGAGATGTCTTGTAGTGTGTGCAAGTCCAAAGATCATAACAAGAGAAAATGCCCGGATAAAAACAAGGAAGCTCAACCTGTACAAAAGAAAAGCAGGGGCAGGCCCAAGAAAGCTATCCAAAATGCAGAAGCACAACAAAGCACTTATCAAACCACTGCACAACCTTCAAGAATAGGGAGAGGAGTAAGACTTATTCAAGCAAGAGGAGGAAGTAACACAACTGGTAGAGGCAGAAGACCCGGGGAAACAAGAGTGAGAGGGAGATTTGGAAGAGGCAGAGGTAAGGGTCAAATTTCTGTAGGCTTTGGAGTCCTTGTTGATGGAGAAGGCAACACCTAGACTAATGTAAGTATTTTTTAGCTATTGTAACTCATTATTGCATTACTTTTATGAGTTATTATTCTGATAATGTTATTATATTTTTTGTGTTTACAACCTCCCGGCCAATCTGGTCCAAGTAATCTATCAGAGCCTTCGGTTGGTCCTTCATTTCATTAGTTTGTTGTCCAAAGTTGCAGTCCAAAGTTGCAGAGAAGAAGTTGATGTTTAGTATTGTTATTATGTAATAAGTTGCAGAGAAGAAGTTGATGTTTTGTGATTCTATAATTTGTTGTATTTCAAAGCTTTGTAATGACTTAACTTGGTGTGTTTGTTAGTCCTTTTTTATCAACTTGCTTGAAGACTTGGTAGTATTTGGAACCTTTGTAATGTTCAATATTTTGAACTTTTATGTAAACAGACTTCTAAGCCTGTGGGTTGTTCATGTTCAATGATATGTGGTTTGTTCCCAAATATGTGGTTCTCATATTTACTTCCAAGTTAGTTTGAAACCAGATGTTGTTTCCAAAAAGTTCATTATTGTGAACTTATCAAAACAGACTTCTAAGTCTCATTTTTACTTCCAAGTTTGGAACCACAATTTGCATGTACATTAAGATATGGTTATTGTTCAGTTTAGTATGTGTGCTTTTACATGTACAAACAATTCATGTTAAAATAGGTAGTTCATGTCAAAACAATGACACATTTTCATTACATAAACATTACACCAGAACAAAACCAAATGCATCAAAACAACCACTACACATTACAATGCAACAAAGTTATCTGAGAAAACTCTAATCCCTCTCAGAAGTATTATCCAATGACCAATCCATCAAAACATCCACTACACATTACATCATAATACAGCTAATACACATATCTAGAACTCTCAAAACATCCACACCCCCAAATTACTTATAGTATAACACAATGCAAAACCAGATCCAACATGCAACAATAGCAATGAATGTCATTCTTTGGGACTTCAAATTTTTGGTAATGAGTAGCTGCATTTCCTGATTTTTAGCTTCCACCATCTTTTTCTTCAATTTCAACCTAACAATCTTCTCCTCTAATGCTTTTTGTCCTTCATTTTTGCTGCTAAAAAGATGCTCCAACAACATTTCCTTATCATTTCTGTTGTCTTCTTTGCAAGGACGATTTCCTTCATCAACCCATTGAAAATAATGACAATCTTCTTTCTGGAAATCAACAAAATAACTCATCAATTAATTCACAAAATAACTTACGGAAGTTCTGATTAGCAAAAGAGAGATTCTTAGGAGTACTAAATAATTTACAGGCCATAATGCACACTCATAAAATTGTCTCCCAGTATTTGGCCCGTTTTTCACCATTCTAGGTCCACAAAATAGTCTGTGGTAGCACTGATTTGAAAAACCAGTGCTTTCGGTCCTTCTACCCCATGAAGATGACCCATAAATCGAACTCATTTCGCCATCGTATCCCGCTGGTTGATTTCTTGGGTCGCGGTTGAAAAGATGAGAGGAAGAAGAGTTCACCGTTGTATTTTCTTGACTCTGTACTCCTTTCATTTCGGTGGACGACGAAGAAGATAAGAGGGATGAGTTTAATTTATACTTAGTAATACACGTGCGTTGCACGTGTTTACTTAGCCGGTTATAACTCATTTTAACCGGTAAGGGAGTGTTTTTTGAAAATGGGGCCCAAATTTGGGACTATAGGGAAATAATCTATATTAAGGATTATTAAAAGCGGACCGGGTATGGTTGGGATTAATATTACCTATTTTTCCAACTAGAAAATGTGTTTACCTCATTGTTCTTCAAGAGATTAAATATGAAACATATCTCCATTTTTTCTTCTTAAATAAAAAGTGACTTTTACGTGTTTTCCGAATTCAGAAAACTCGTGTTCTCCGTTTTTTCTTCTTAAATGGAAAGGTGACTTTTACGTGTTTTTCGAATTTTCAAACTCTTGAGTCAGTTCTTGTTCTGGGATGAAACAATTCTTGGTATTTCTCGTTTCATAAATGAATTTGTGTTAAAGAAATTGAAGAAAGCCCTTGTTTCAAAAGCTTCCACCAACGAGGTGTGCAAATTATTTTGTTTGACACTGTTTCAGAAAGCCCCTATTTCAGAAGAAATTTAAAAAAGCCCTTGTTTCAAAAGCCCTACATAAATTTCAGAAATTTTCAGAAATTTCAGCAGCTTTAAAAAGGCTTCGGTGAGCCCTCCGTCGTTGCTTGCCTGCTTTAAAGAAATTCAAAAACAATCCAACGGTTAAAAAACAATCCGCCGCTGAACAAATTCAAAACACATGAATAAATTTAAAGAAAGATATGATAGACTGACAGAGCTATTATAAAGATGATTTTTAATTTTTAGTACATTACCAGATGGTAAAGGACTTTAGTATTATCATTCATTCAAAGTAGCGGAGCAACTATTTACTGAAGCATGTGTCTGAGACTATGTGTACTGCTTTGCTTGCTATGAGCTTTGCTGTGAATAGCCTCGTTTCACTTTGATCTTACTTTCAGTTGATCCCCATATACTTTTCATGTGAATAGCCTCGTTTCATGTACTTTTCATGTGTTGCGCATTACATAACTTCATTCACATGCAAGATAGGAACGATGATTTGTTCATGGAGTACGAGCAAAATGATATGATGTTTGACAGGACCGCAAGTACAAGTGAAAACAGATCACTCGAATTTGATATGTCTCAAAACAACAAATGCATGAAGTTCGGGAAAGTATTGCTAATGCAATATGAGATGATTATCATGTATGAGATGTGATAGTACAAGCAGTGATTAAAATAATGTCACTTATTCAACGTTCAACGTTAATCAACATTTATGTTAATTTTTTATGTTATTTTAAATGTTAGTAATTGTAAAATTCTTTTCCATTGAATTTCTATTCAGTGTTTCTTTTTTGTGTTAACGCGATGTTTTCTGGTAAAAATGAAATGGAAAATAGAGAAAATTTGGTAAACATGTTCTCAAATTTGGAAAACGAAAAAATGGAAAATGAAAACAGAAAACTAGAGACTAGAAAACAAAAACAAAAAAACAGAAAAATGTTTCCGTTAGTAAATGTGCCTATACTTCTTTATTTGGCAAACAATCTACACCAAAACAGTGCAAAATAGTGTCAACATTGTACTCTACAGTAAAGTCAAATTTATTTCCTTAATATATGTGAAATCAAAGTGTAAACTTTATTAAGAACCGAAGGAAGTAGTATGTAACAATAGAGTATGTCGATCAATGTATCACAAAATTGGGTAAAAACTTATTATATTTTTTTAAAATATCATAAGTTTAAAAAAATGTCAAAAGTTTATGTTTTTGAGAATTCGAAAATATGATGAGTAATTACTACTCCGTATTATATTATAAATATGAGTAATTACTACTCCGTATTATATTATAACACTATCATATTTATTTTCTAAGTTTGCTAATAATTACTTTTATTCAGGGTGAGAAAATGACAGATTTATTTTAGAAGAATTTTAAAAGATTTCACTTTGATATTATGTCGTAGTCCACCAAGAGGCTAACTGGCTTCCTTTTTATCAACACTTGAAATACCTAATATGCCAAAATTGAATAACTTATACTCCTTTTTATCACTTAGAGTATTTGTGAAACACATATTAGGAAGAAACACTTTAAATGTATAATCATTGTGCAATGTAGACTAGTTACAAAAGTAAACTGGCCTAACTAATCATCACTAGAACAAAGCGTAAAATCTGTAATCCTTAAAAAAATTACACCAACATTAATCTAACACAAAAAACACAAAAAGAAAAATCAAAACTCCGAACAAGAATAAAACAAATGTTAAAAAAACAGCTCCCCATATAAAAATAGACAAACTTATTCTAATCAAGATATCAACATAATACTAAAATGGATATATTAAAAATCACTACTTATCTGAGTTCACAATCCCTCATTCACACCCTTATGTTTCGACCATCCTCTTCTCAATCTAAAAAGATGTTTTTCATGTATAATGTGACATTATATTTGAAATACTCTTCTCTTCCACAAATGACATAAACAACACCTCCCTTCTCAATATTGTTGATATCGATTGAACTCTACCTTAGCTTCATAATTCAATGATTATTATAGGGAAATTGGATTAAACTAGTCTCTACGAATAGACAATAAATAGCAGATGAAGACTAATATTTAATTAATTATTGCACATCTTTAATGACGTATACTTAAAAGTTAGTTATGTTGTTGGCAGTTCAAGTAAATTAACAATGCACGTGGTTACTAAAATTGGGTTCAATGTGAGTTGTAATTACCCCTCGAAATGTCATGTTGAAGAGACCCATCAACATGAGTCTTCAACACAAAGTGTGATGAATATTCTTAAAGATTTTAGTGTAGTGAATCGACTTTTGAATACCTAGTAGAATTCGTATATGAGTAAATGAAGGTTATGTGCAAGCGTAAGTGCATAAAAATCCAATGTTAAGTCTACTAATATAATTTTTATATTCAAAATAATTTCATATTAAAAAATATCATTGGTCAAAATTGATTGTCATAGACCAAAACGGTTACTAGTACAATACATTTTTAATATAATAAGCAATAATCCTATCGTGAAAGTTATTTTGTAAGTCAAACTATTGCTCATGTGTCTGCCTTTCAAGACGCCTTACTTAATTTTGGGTTGTTTTGGTAAGTCAAACTGTCAGAATTTGCACCCTTCTTGCATGTGTTAAGTTATGTAGAATGCTACAATCATTACTTCTCATTCAAATTCCTGTGAAGAACTATGTGGATACTTTCCATAAAGTTTTCTCTCTGTAAAGCTCTCATTCGAACATCCTAGCCTTGGTCCCAATATTTGGATCGACAACCGCCAAAGAGTAAAATTCAGACATCAACTTATGTCACCAATTTCCCCTCTATCTTTCTTTCTTTTACCTGAGTTATCCCCCCCTTCACTAAGTCTATTCCTTTGAGCTTCTTCTTAACCGAATGCTCTCATTGTAAGGCTTGGAATCTAACAAGACTAGCTACCCGCAAGGGCGTATTTAGCTGCCCCCTGCCTCCATCCTAAATACGCCCTTGTGTGTGTGTGTGTGTGTGTGTGTGTGTGTGTGTGCACGCGCGTGTGTGTGTGTGTGCGTGTGCGTGTGTGTGTGTTAAATAAAGGATTTTATAAAACAACTATGATGATAATCATATCTAGTTATCTCAGTGGCCGAGCGGAAATAAGGGTAGATATAGGCAGTGCTTCGTAAATGGTAAAGGTTCGAAACCATATCATGATTCATATTTTGTTTTTTGCTTTTGTCCATGGAGGCTTGGAACCTAAAACAAATTCTATGTGATTTTACATTATTCTTTTTAATGTTTTCCTTGTTGAATAGATCTAAACTACATCAATGTAGTTATTTTAGTTTCACATATGAACTGATTTTGATTTTGAACATAATATGAACTATTTTTTTAATATACTTGTGAATTTTCAATTTAAATTAATTCTAAGTACATGGTTGATCCTTCACTTAGTTGATTCATTTATATATTGACATAGTTTTGCACAAATTACAGATGCCATGTGAAAAAGTTATTTCTAAAAAGTGAGATTTAATTAAACATGATATCATAATATATTTTCCCAGAGAATATTTGTTATTTATAATTGATTTTACAATTTTTTGCTGAATCCGAATAGTTTTAATTTTGTAGTGTTTTTTTCTTAATCCTAAGGTAAATTCGCTCTCACTGACCTATTTTTCAGGATACGCCACTGGCTACAAGGACACATGAAGAGAGAGAAATAAAGATACTTCTGAGTTATATTCTTAAGCATCAATGACCTGGTTTAGGTATAGTTATACGACCACATCCATATTGACAACTTGTTGAAAAAAGTTATTGTTTTAGTTATTTGGGATTTTTTATTTTTTGTCAATGCTTATGACAATTAATTCTTTATAATACATTGTTATTTTGGTTAAATAAAAATGTTCATTGCATATTTTGTAGTGGTATATGATAGAAATTTTGGGCAATGTTCTAATCTAAAGGAGTAAGAAGCTGACTGCTGGATTCTCAAAATTCATTTCATAGAAGAAGGAGATAATTCATAGGTAAATTTGATGTTTGACTAATTGTCCTTCCTTTCTAATCATCTCATTTTCATCTAATTTCAATGTGCAAATTGTAGTTCTTGTTTGATTATTATCAGTGCATAATAACAAACAGTGCATAATTGTCCTTCCTTTCTAATCATCTCATTTTCATCTAATTTCAATGTGCAGATTGTAGTTTTTGTTTTATAATTATCAGTGCATAATAACAAACACGTTTTTGTGAAGTTAAGGCTGCTGCACCACCTTGCAAAAAAATGCACTCGTGACCACGTTTGGAGAAGAAATAAGATGTCTCTTATTTGAGTATTTAATTTCCATGTCTTTTGCACATGAAATGGCATAGATTTTACTTTTTTAGTGTTACTTTGTTGCTGATTATTTATATTTGCATAATGCTTATTTATAATTAGTGTTTTTTCAATAATCCGCGAATGCACACACACATATATGTGTTGTAATATATTTCTCACTTTTGGGGCCAACAGATAAGTTTGAACACATTTTTGAATACCTTATACACTGAATGATTTATACCTTATTTCAAATTGTAAAAGAG